CACACACACACACACTCACACGCACCCTCCCCTCTCCCCCCACTCACACATGAACACACACCCAGGCTTACTGTCACATGCAAAATATAAATGAACAGTAAAAGTAAAGTTGTTCCCACATCCGATCCGGACATTAGGGATTGCCTTGCTAGTGAGACAACTTCCTGGGCCTTGGGCATATTGTGGTAGGGTGGCCATAGTGAACAGTAATATAAACAATAATAATGTAAAGCTAGATACATACTCAGTATTCCGACTGTAACTCAATAGTCTTCTGATGCAAAGGCATGTGGGGTAGAGACAAAGTACTTGCTGTATCGCTTAGCCTTGAAAACAAAAAGAATGTTGTCACATGCAACATAAGAAAGTATTTATTGTATGTAACCTTGTAACCAGCGAAAAATAAAGAAGCAACAAAAATGTAGTTTCTTAGGAGACTGCTGAGAATATCGTGGAAGGAAGAGAAATCAAATGAAGTAGTGCTTGATGAAGCCCGCATGGGACGCTCACTGTTAAAAGCAATCAGGAAACGACAAATGCAGTTTTTGAGACACCTTTATAGACATAAGGGTCTTGAACATCTAGCTTTCACTGGCAAAATTGAAGGCAAACCAGGGAGGGGTAGGCCCAGAGCAATCAACTTAGGAATCCTAAACAAATGGGTAACAGCAAAAGATCAGGGAAACGTAGCTTTTTAAAGAGCATCCGAGCAAAGGAATGAATGGAGAACAATGATCGCCGATGTCTGTCGCAGATCTGGCACTGGATCGATGATAATGATGATGATGATGATGATGATGATGATGATGATGATGATGATGATGATGATGATGATGATGATGATGATGATGATGATGAACCTTGAACCTTGTACCCTCTCACTCCCCAGTGGTTCATCGCGCATCTGGCTGTGGCTGATCTGTTCACGGCCTTCTTCAATGTTCTGCCTCAGCTCGCCTGGGACATCACTCTGGTCTTCGTGGGCAATGACTTCTTGTGTCGGACTGTCAAATATCTACAGGTGACTTATCTGTTGGTGGTGGTGGTGGTGGTGGTGGTGGTGGTGGTGTTGTTGTTGTTGCTGTTGGTGGTGGT